ATATACCAGCAACAACAATGCCACCAAGCGCTCTTCACTTCCACCGCTAGCTACCAACCAGGCCCGGCCCAGCCAGCCTCCACAACCCGTCCAACCTCAACGACCTGTTCAACAGCAGCGCCCGCCTCAACCGCAGCGCCCAACACAACAACGGCAGCCAGGGCCAAGGTTAGATCCACGAGCGCAGTGGGAGCTTGACGCCGAGACTGCGCGATTGAAGGCACAAGTGGAGGCCGAGGCACGCGAGCAGAAGCGACAAGAAGAAGCAAACCGAAAAGCTCGGCGCAGACAGGAAGAGGAACAAGAGCGCAAGACGCTGCAGTTCCTCGAGCAGGAGCGGAAGCAGAAGGAACGCGAAGAGAAGGAGCGACGCCGGAAACAGGCTGAAATCGACAAGGAGACAGAGCGTCTAAAGAAGCAGTTCGGAGACCAGTCCAACCTCCTCCAGCGCCCGTCCCCACAGCCTCAGCGACACTCCTCACCCCTCGTACAGGGCGGATGGCAGAACCAAAGACCCAGTCCAGCGCCCCGCCCTGCGCCCGTTCCCGCACAACCCCCGCGCATGCAGCAACCGCAAGGTGTGTACCTGCAAGCACCTGTACAACATCGGCCCGCTGCTAGTCAGAGCAGCTTCTTCAGCAATGGACTACCGAAGCCGGTTGCCAAGGCTAAGAAAAGTTTCTGGGGGTTGAGAACACAGAGTGAGAGCAATGCCGAGAAGATCAAGAAGAAGAAAAGTAGCATGTTTTGATGAATGGTTCTTTGGCGCTTGGGTCAGGGCATTGGGAATGGCATTGGGTATGGAGTTTTTGATTAGTGAGTCTTTATGATACCAGACCTTGCAATACAGTCATGTTCATCTACGACCTTCATGTTTTCTGTGCGTGTTCGTGTTGATCTGCAGTACCCAGATGCCACGCATCATCTCAAGCCATGCCGGATTGGTGCTAGCGTTCCCGCGACTTCTACATCCAGCTCCGGAACCACTCCACGACACGTCCGACACCAGCTTCCCGCCTCTTCGATCTCGCATTCATTGTATTCACCCCAAAGTTCAGCCATGAGCGGCGTGCCATCATCTCATCTCCGCTTCCGCTCAGCTCGAGGTTCGTCGCGAAGCCGTCCAACCCCGCCAAGACATAAACTTGCTCACTTGAGCACATTATCCTGGGGTCCGTATGCAGGGTCGCAGCTATAGCTCGCGCCACAACATGTTCGCTACAATCAGCTACAATCATGAGTGGATAGATGCACACCGGTTTCAGACTCCTCGACCGAAACTATTACCTTTGATTGGATCTTACATCTTTCCCAATGCCGTGGTCGCGGTCAGGCGAGGAAAGGCTTCTACGTGCTTGCTTGGCAGCGGGATAGAGGGATTGAGGTTCCGTTAGTATGCGGGTAGGTGGGTGGAATTGGATGCGGAGGCGCTGGAGAGGAAGGTGTGTTGGATGTTGGGGTGGGTATAAAGGGTTTGGCAGCTGCATGTCAGATGCTGTACGCTGCTGGTTGAGTGAATTGATCGCTTCTACACCTTCTCGTTCATACCCCTACGACTGAACCTACTTGCAGCACCACCTTCTACCTGTCACCGCGACTATGTTGTCAACCACCCTCCTCACAGTCGCCGCCTTCGCCGCGGGCGCAAACGCTCACTTCCGTCTCCTCGCACCCACATGGCGCGGTAGCTCCTTCGAAGAGCCAGCTAGCCAATGGATCTACCCCTGCGCCAATGTGAACGAAACAACCGACATGGCAAACCGTACGCATCCCATTCCTCCCTTCCCTTCTCAACACACTCCCCATCCCCCAAACCCCCCTCCTCCACATCCCTCATTCCCAACCCACTAACCCACCACCCCCAGGAACTCTCTGGCCCCCCACCGGCGGCTCCACCATAATCAACGGATCCCACACCTCAGCCCTCACCTCCGTGAACCTAGCCCTCGGCAGCAACGCCACAAACTTCAACATCACCCTCTTGGAGATGTTCAACCAAACCGGCGCCGGCGTCTTCTGCATGAAGGAAACCGGGAAAGCGAATCTGGAAGAAGGGTTTAAGGCGGCGGGGTACAGTGGGCTGGATGATGAGCGGATTAATGGGTTGATGGCTACCGTGCAGGTTATTCAGTTGGGGCATAGTGGGAGTGCTTTGTATAATGTGAGTTTTCCGAGCCTTGGTGTTTTGGGAACGGGGAGGAGAAGAGAGCGTGGGGGAAGGGGTAGTTGTGATGGGAGGGTCAAAGCTAACAGCTGACAGTGCGCGGATATCATGTTCAACGCTACGGCGGAGTTGCTGTCGGATGATCAGTGCCAGAATGGAACGGATGTCAGTGGTGTGGCGATTGCGAATGTGGGTTCTGTGACGGAAGAAGGTGGGGATGCGGCGGCGTCGCCTGCGCCGACTGGTGCGGCGGGGAGACTTAGTCCTGTTGTGGGAACTGGGATGGTCGCGGTGGTTTTGGCTTGGTCGTTGCTGTAGAATGCTGGTAGAGTTGTGGCTGTGGAGAGTGGATGGACGGATGATGATACCTCCGACCGTGTTCGCAACAGGTACTACACTCTTGTTGTCCAGGCGGATGTAATGTCTTCTTCTTCATGAGCCTCCGTCTCCATTGCCTTCTTCTTCCTCATTCTCCCCCACTTCTTCACCTTCCTCATCCGGCAGCTCATATTCCTGCGGCACTTCATCTTGCGCCGGTGTCTCAGGTTGCTCCTCCTCCGAGCTAGATTCGCCCTCTGTCATACCCGGGTTACCGTCACGTGTCGATCTTTCGCATTGTGTACAAGACTCAGCGTTCTCTTCGTTGGGCCAGCGGCACACTTCACATGTCCACTGGGGCATCTTCGTTATGATGCTGGGGTGAAATGAGGCGAAATTATGTAAGATGCCGTAAGTGACCGTGAGAGTGCACGCATGTGGGTATCTTGATGAGGTGGTTCATGAAAGGGAGCTGTTTACTTTGCATTGCACAATGTCCATTGTTAAGGATGTGTGGGTAGTGCGTGAATGCTTTGTCATTGTCACTACGGTACAAAGCGCTTGACGATAAGTGGGGATCAAAAGAATGGATCAACCTGGACGCGAATTTGGCCTCTGGCGGATGAACGCTCTTAGCAACCGAGTTTGTCTTTTTGACTTCGGAAGGATGGTCCCTTTTGGATGTTTGAACTGGGAGTGAACGTCATCGGACCTCTGCAAGGTCTTGGTAGCAACCTAGAGAAGTGAAACTAGATCATCTGACAGCTGTGAATGTGCCAGTCGCTCTCATCACATAACACCGCCGACCTACATCTCTTCTTTTTAAACACAAAGCAGCCTTTACAACTCTACACTCTCTGCCACGAAGCAGTACAACTCACCACTGAGCCTGAACGTCTACTTTTTCAACACGCATCATCATCATCGTTTGGAGCACGTGAGAATGTCAGAATCTGATGCCCAAGCCTTAAGTCGCATGAACACATACGTAGTGCCGTCATACATACCAAAAGACGCACCAAGAGGCCCAGCTGCTATGCGAGTGTCTCATCCAACTCAAGACGAAGCCTATGATGAGATCGACGACTGGTTGGAATCTGGGCTGCAGTCGTATACAGAAGAAGGTCAGCGCATGCTTGATGCGGCGAATGGCGTCCAGGTACCGAAGCGTTCGACCGCGCTGACGAGCACGGCGGACGCTGTTGGCAGACATGAAGAGCCCGAACAGGCTTCACCGCCTCCTGCCTACCCTGAAGACCCTTCCGTGCTGCTCAACGAAGACAACGCGATTGTTCCATCCCGCTCACGCGCATCCATGCGGTGTGGTGGAATCGTTCGCCACATCGCCATCAGCGGTGACTACAACAACATGCATTTGAATACCGGTACCGGGCAGCAGAACATCGCACATTACGACTATCGCAGGTATCGGGATGAACAGACTGTTCAGGAATATGACGATGCTGGGAACGGCGGCGGCGGCGACGAAGGCTACGATGGTGCGAACGAGGACCGCAACGACCGCGGATTTATCCAGGATGACACCCCAGGGTATCGTTCACCAATGGGCGGCCAAGACGATCGAGATGATTGGCGTGACGATCGCTACGATGGGGACTACGACGGTCGTGATAATCGCCAATATGATGATTACGATGAGAGGTACGAGCGTCGTGGCCGTCGCAACACGCCTGCACGTGACAGCCGGGCTGGTGCGCGCTACGATGATGACGACGGATACCGAAGTGACGGAGGTTACTATAGCTATGGTGATGAGAGTGAGTACAGTGACTGGTAGGCCGAGGGTAGTGTGCGCATCTCGTTCATAAAGACCGTAGCGTTGGTCGACGGCGGAAGAACTTTCCGCCTAGACAATGCGCGTGAAGGCTTTGGAGGCGGGCTGGAATAGACGCAGTAGTAGTGGTAAGGCTTTGGAGGTGCGGGATCAGATTGGTCCATAGTGAGATGATTGTAGCTGTAATTACTGTAATTCAACGCAGGTCCATAACAACATGTTGATATCTTTGCCTCTTCCACGAGATGTAGGTTGAGGAGGGAGAAGATCGGGAAGGCACGCTCGTGAGACGACGCCGAAGCAAAGGCCACCCCGCTTACGTAATATCGCGTCAAGCGTCGTTCACCCGCCATGCATCTTCGCCTGCCTTACCTCTTTTCATCTACAATTGTCACGGCTTCATCTCCAAACGCCACGTCTACAATGCGCGATACCTACATGGATATTGCCTCATCATGCCGCGCACTCTGATCCTCGACGAGCTCGGCTCACGGCCCCGAGAATCTTCGCTCGCAGCTTTTCAGCCCCTACGATAGCCTGAGACTGTCTGCATTGCTCACCCCAGCCTCTCAGCATCATTGCTTACAATGCAGCATGCCACTACCTGTACACATGGCACGCCCCGTGGTCGTCGCTCTACCGCGACGGTCTGAAAACGAATGAACCACTTGTTTCCACCCACCTACCTGCATGAAGTTTAAATCCTCAGCGGATGCTGGCACTTCAGTCTGGTGCAGTCGGCCTCTCAGACCTTCTCCGTTTCTTACTGGAAGGCGACCCTTCGGAGCTACTTTTCCTCTTCTCTCCAGACGTTGCTTCACCAGCAATCGAAGTATCGGCCGCCTTCCCAGGACCGACAGCTGATTTGGACGTTTTCGGCCGTGCTTTGAAGAAATAAGCAATCGACTTCTTGCCTCCGCGTGGCGAAACTCTGACAGGGGGATTGGGCTTGACTGTGTCTTTGTTATCGTTCGCATCTGGTACCTTTTCCGGTGGTCGCGAGAACTTGATACCATCCGAGGGCTTCCAAAGATTGACTTCTGGGCCATCGTCTTCTCTGGCTCTCGATTCAGGGTTGGGCCCCGAGTCTGACTTCAGCTTCTTGTTGGCGTCTTTCGACAGGTCTCTTGATGCATCAGTGTCTACAGAACTTTCCGTACGACCTGCTGAACTGGCCGAGCTCAACCGATCCGGACTGTCTTCGACAATAACCTGCTGCGGTAATGGATCCGCAGTAGTCAACGTACGCCAAGCTCTTATACGGCTGACGAGCTTGTGTTGATCGTCTCCGGTGGCCCTGCGGTTCACAGCATCTTTCTCCATGATGATACCGGTATCACAGCTCTGCAGATCGATAGACTCTACGAAGTCAATGCAATTCTTGGGAATTCCGAGTTTGCGAGCTTGCTCATGAGCAGCTAGGTAGTCGGTTCTGGCGGCCTGCAAGCTTTTCTTGTCAAGTATCACGTCTCTGAGAAATCCCTTGTTGAACTCTTCCCTGACGCTGTTGGAGGACCTCGAACCATTTGAGTTTTGTACGGCCTTGAGGTACCTGGCTCCTTCTCGATCGTAATTATGGCAATAGTTCTCGCATCGATCCCGGGCCCGGATAAGATCTTTATGACGACGTGAAAGTCTCGCTAGAGCACTGAGAACTTCACTACGCGGATCAACAAGTTTTCTCTTGTCAAAGGGCGTCTCTATTTCTGCTCGATGAGCACTAGGTCGGTCATTGCGCTGTTCCGGCCTCTCTTTCCCAACCTCCCGTTGGCTTATTCGGCCTGCCATCTCCTCCCGATTATCCTGGTTCTGGCGAGATAAGCTTCGGGTTCTTTGCCTCGGTAATGCTCGGGCTATCTTTCGTAGAGGCATATGTGCATCTGCCCACACTTGCTTGAACAACTTCTCTACGTCCAGCCAGCGAGCTTTCATTTCAAAATCATTACCGCTCCACTGACCCTCTATTAGCCTAATCGTTCCTTGGGCGCTATTCCGAGCCTCGAGTGCGCGTCGACGATGTGATTCCAAATCTCTGTACTCAGCCTGGTCCTCATCTTCAACTTGTCCTTCCCTTCTCAAATTGGCAAGGCGCCTTTCGATTCTAGCCACAGCTTCGGTGTGATCGACTTCTAATATCTTGGCTCGCTCATGTCGCTCCTGCCCTGCCAAGTAGGTCTTATGCCATATTTCAGCGAATTGAAGCGCGCGTTCTAGCGACGTTGCAAGCTCAGGTGACAATCGGATAGCCAATTTCGATTCTTCCCCCTCTTTGATCGGTATAATAGCGGCGGGTCTACTGGAAATGAGTCTCTCTGGGTCATAATCACCTTTTAGCTGCCAGGGGCTTGCCTCAGCTTGAAGTGGTGAGGCGTTGTCACCAGTTTGGGGTCTTCCAGTAGCGCTTGATGATGGTTCGCTACCTCTGGCTTTCGAACTCACACTCGTGTTGCTATCGCCTCCATATCTGAGACCTGCTCTCCGTGGGGTTGAAGCAGTTGGGTTGCGACGTACCCGCGATTCGTCACTATTGTAATAGTGATTGGTTATGTTATAGACGTTCATATTGCGTCTGGACTTGTATATATCGCTCTTTTCCCTCCTTCTGGCGGGATGGAAGTCGGCGGTGGAGTTTTTCTTTCGGCCATGGCGCGAACTGGTCCTAGCCATGACTAACGTAACGTCTGTGTTTAATGATTGAGTGGCTGGGGCGATCTTTTGAGACACCTGAAGGCTTATTACGAGGGGCAGGTGTCAAGATGACAGTGGGGTGAGGCTTGCTAACATATTTACAGACAACACTGGACTTGCCGAACGAACAAAGGGCCGTTCCCTTTGTTCAATTCTCCAAAATTGTCCACGTAGCCGGGACCACTAACAGAGCCATTGTTACAAGTTCAGTCATGACGATGCTTGGCTATGATGTACTAAACTGTTGACTTCAGGAAGTGGTTGCTTTCACGGTAGTCTGTGAATAGAGATGCCCCACGAAATACGGGTGCATCGAGATATATGGTCTGCCATGGAGACCTCGGTCCATATCGCGATGTAATCTTACGTATCAATTGACATATTAAGCAGGGTCTTCTCATCGAGTTCATGTCGTCCTGCACGCGTACGCTAGCGGGATCTTTCACTGCCTGTCCGCTAGCGTGGAGCGAGCCTTTCGGGTCGTAAGTGGTCGTGCACCCACTCATAGACTCTGCACGCACCAACGCCCAAGATCAATTGCAAACTGCTAACGGAAGCTTCTCGGCGCGGACACTGCGTCTCCGGAGCGATGCTCAGTGGTAAGTAGATCACTTCGCTGTAAGCGGCTGTTGCTTTGTTCACATGCTGATGTCCGTGTTGGCGTAGACGAACCGCATCAGTCAGGAGCTATGGCTGACTCCGCTGGTTCTGGTATCTCGCATGTCGCGGATAGTCCCAAACGCGACGCCTTACGGCAGCCCGCACAGCCACGGCAGCAAGATCGCGAGGCACTGTCGACTCCGAACGAAACTCCATCGATCAGTTCATCACGCGACGTTCCCGATTCGGCAAGGAAAACAGTAGGCGTCGTGGATTCCACCGGAGCTACTGGCGCGCGGCCTGCGGCTTCCACGAAATGGACGAACGACCAACTTTTCTACGACGACGAAGGCGGAGATATCGGGCTGCCATACGACGAAGATGCTGGTCTGATTAGCAGTGATCTCGTTAATACATATAGCGACAACGATACATCCGCGTATACGACTAACGACACGAAAGCTGCATATGGGGCAGCCACGAAGACGGAACCACGTTCCTACGTGGTGGAGGATTACATGTGGGAGGTCAACCCCCCAATGTCTGCACGAAATCGTCGAAACGTTCGCCCTGGGGACATCATCTTGGCACCCGACCCACAACAAGCATACAATCCACGAACCGCAAGTGGTGTACCGACACACGAAGGCCTGGTGTCTAACAAGCTTCGTCCCATGACCGTCATGAAAACTCACGAAGACGATGACAATTTACCAGAATCTGCGACTTGTCTACGCCATTATACGTACCAAAAGAAAGGTCCCTCTAATTTGATGTCAGTATCTGAACTCAACAAGCTATTCAAATTACTCGAACGAGGTAGTTACGAGGAAACAAGTCTCACCGGGAACCGGCCTGTCTATGGATCGTTGTTCGATAGTACCATCGATCCTCAAGCTTACATCCATGGTGGCCAGTTGGTGCTAGTACGTCTGACAAACAAAGTTCGCATCATTGGCGAAATCAATATTCCCGATTGGGCGAGGCTAGACATCTTCTCCAAACAGCAAGGTGAGCGCTCAGTAGACGCAGTATATGCCCAATACCCGAAACTACGTGAGCAGGCTGAACAGAAGGTCCGCGAGACTTCCATTCGCGCTCGCGAGCTTCAGGGTGATCATCATAACACTCGAGCTGCTCAAAGCCGGGAGAGCATTGAAGGTATGAACAAAATACTCCACCAGAAAGCCATCAGCGACGGGCTATGTGTAAACTGTACTAACTCTTATCATTTACAGATAACGGTCGATTGGATTATACGTCATCAATTGACAGGCACCGTCGCCATGATACTCGAAGCCGGTCTCCCTCCCCGTATCGACATCCGTCCAACCGCCCAGAGTACACAACACGCATGCGATCGCCACGTCAAGATTCTCGCGACGACCACAACTGGGAGGCCAAGCAAGACAATCGTTATGAGAGCTTTCGTGAACGTTCGACCTACCATATCCAGGGACCTGCCGTCACTGATCCCTATGTCCAGTCGCAGGGAAACACCACACTCGCATCTAGACAAGGTACAACCAGCCGCCAGAGCCGTAGTCGAGATTCAGACCGTGTAGACCGAGACTTTGAATCGAGGCCACGGGACTCGCGAACCGAACGTGGGGATGGACGAGATCGGCGTTCGCGAAAGGAGAAGAGGCGCAAAGGTAGTCGTCGTCGTTAGGGAAATGGCTTGCAACGAACATTGAAGCGGCCGCAAAGAGGCTTTGATGATGGGTACAACATGCTGACGATTTGATGGATACGATCTGACTAATTACTTTTGATGCGAGATATGGGTGTTTCATTGGTATACGCTCCACCATGTAGTGTTGGCGCGAAACATGGGGCTTTTCACGGGCATGTGGCTCACTGTTCAGCGAGTGTCTGAGCATCTTGTGTTTAACAGAGTATCTGGCAGATTTGCGATATATTATGATAGAAATGGGAACGACGAAGTTCATCGTCTGTACATCTGCAACGAGGCTAAGCCTACCGAGATGTCTTCTTCTACCTAGTTATGCCCTCGTTCTTTGGGAAGTAGCTACCATTACTACATCGATCAAGGTATCGCGCACGTGAACCAGGACCTTTCTAATCCCAGAAACGCTCCACAATTTCTTTAGGCAGTGCGCCAATCCTCTCCTTCGTCTCATACACCTTGATATCGTCACTGCCCATCGCTACAAGCACCGCAGACTGATGCTCAGTATCCTCTCCAACGGTCGTCCGCAACAACTGGAGTAGTGTCACAACCTTCTGTAGCGCCTCTTGGCTGCCTTTCTCCCACTTCTCGAACCCCTTAAAGCTGTCTGACTTGCTCCCAGCTTGGGTGACTTCCTTGATCCGAATGTCCTTTTGCCTGTATGTTCCGTCAAAGTGAGCGTTGTGCTTCCCGCCCAGGCAGCAAGTAGGAGTTCTGCCGAACCACATCTGATCGATCGGTCGCGAACTTGCGTTGCTCTTCAGCTCCAGGATCTGGTGTTGTGGTACGACCTTACCCTGGACAAGGACAAGCGTCTTCTGTGGGCCTTCATGCTGGATGGTTTCGACGTCGTGCTCACCAGGCACAAAGCTAGGAAGAGTACTCGGTGGTGCATCGGGGTCTTGCGGCGACTCGATTGTGGGGTCGTATGCGTCGACCTCATGGCGTACGACTATGGTGAGGCTACCAAGCTTGTATTTGATGAATCGATGATGGGTTGTTGCTCCGTCGATCTCGGATTCTGTGAGGGCGCTTTCGAAGTTACGACCGTAGGTGTTGGTAGCGGACCTAACCTTTGCGTTGCGTACTTTCCTTCCGACGAAGAGAGTGTTCTTCTCGAAGTCAAGATCGAGATGAAAAGCTTGGAAGGAAGCGTTTTTGACGCACTTCATCAGATTTAACATCGTAGTGCGGTTGATCACGACATCCACGTCGTTGAAACGGATATCAGGGTTCATCGTTGCGATGGCCTGGAAAGCGGGCTCATATTGTTGCTGTGGAGCACGTTCTGCATGCTCGTCGCTGAAATGGTAGCCAGAGTCGGGCGCAATCTTGAGAGGAAAGTCTTGATGGTTAGGCCGCTTGAACGCTGGCGGCGATCCAGGGACAAATATGGTGGAAATTGCTTCGTCCATGAAGCTGTAACTGCAGAGAAGTGCATACCCCTCAGCCGAGGACACCTCGTCCGAGCTGGGATAGATATCCTCGTAGGTGCCCTGCCATACGACCTTGTCTGCGTTGACGTTGGCGTACATGTGGGAGTACCATTCTTCGCCCTTGGGCCTCGAGAATGTCTTGAGGTTCAAGTCTATGTACACGCGTTTGCCGCTAGTCCTATCTATATAGTGCGTCCCATGGATCGTTGATGTTGAGAATACAGGGTTTGATGAAGCTCGAGGGCGTCCAAAAACAGCTGGCCGGGCGGCTGTGTCCATCTCTTTGAGGAAAGCGCTTTGGTCCATCTCTCGGTTGGGGGTCGATCGAAGTATTTAGGCGAGCAGTGGGCTTACTTTCCAGAGTTTGAGTGCCCAGATAGATGAGAAGAAATCTTGTTGTATATAAAGACCACGAGCGAGGATTTAGCGCCTAGGCACCAGAAACACTGAGTGTCCATCGAGTTGGCACGGACACAGAGTGAATGTCAGACTCATTTGGACCCGATGAGGCTTTCTGCCTGAATTGGTTCGCGGGAAAGAGCGCAAGAGACCCGTAGTAATTATTTACAGATGACCAAGCGATTGCGAAGACTGTCATGGCTATACGTTAGCAAGCAATTAGACTTAACATCATTGCGAAGTGCTCGGAGATGTTGCACTGGACTCTTTGTGAGTGCTTGATGAACTTGCTGAGCTGGCACAGTTGTCGAAAGTCTACCGCCCTGCGTACCAATATCTCCGTGGGAGTGCTGGCTCGCTCCAGATTGATGCCTTCTTATGCCAGTGCCAGTTGCGGTATCATGGTAATGATGATGATGCGTATTGTAGATGATGATGCCATGTTTTGCGACATAGCTGTGGACTTGCTCGCCAGTTGGAATGGGCTGTTCAGATGCGGCTGACGTACGGTTCTCCACGCCGCATGTCTACCCTGCCACTCGATGAAGTAAAATCCACAACGAATTTCCTCCAGTGTCGCATGTTCTAGACATGTAGCCAACAAGGGCTGGATACATGGCCCGATACAAACACACAATACTGCTCTTGATGTCTTTGTCCGCTCAATCCTCTTTGTCTATGTAAGCATAGTGACGCCACTTTGACACCAAACCTGCGAAGAAGCCTACGTCAATTAGGCCTCCTCAGTCTGTTAAGCAAGTAGTTTGAGATGCGACGGCTTTACATATCTTATCTATTGCATGGCGGAGTTAATCATCCCAGGGCTGCATTCTGTGTCTGTGTATGGGACAACACCGCGACCACGTTGGCGCAGTAGATCCCCAAGTGCGGGGCTACAGCCATTTCGTGAGCGCGATGACCGTCATGAAGGCAGTGACCAGCCACGCTACCAACCTCGCACCTATGAAGACGAGCGTACAATACGTGCGCAAGGAGGGCACTGGCCAGACAGCCGTGACAGAGGGGAGCGTCACACGGTACGGGAGTCAAGACATGGCGAACGGGACCATCGATCTGACCGTGATACGGACCCTATGCCTCTTAACAGATACTATGCGGACAGTGAGGATGGTAGAAGCGATCGCCGGTATGATCCGCCGGATGGTAGGGAACAAGGACGTGGCGGTAGGCCTGGCGCTTGGGGACGTGGTACACAGATGGGTAGAGGCCGGGGAGGAAGAGGAGGAGGAGGAAGCAGAGAGTAGCTCGGCTGTCCTCGGGGTTAATCTCAGTCGACACTCGGAAGAGGGGGATGAGCTCACTACCGCCAATACGTCGTAAAGGACTTGGCATGTGCCCGTGCCATCAAAAACGAGTAGATACATAAGATACGCGTCGGATTGCGCGACGGATCTCTTGGGTCGTCCGAATGTCAAATACGTAAAACTGATCCTTCTCAATTTTGTGTTGTCCTCATTTACTGGGGTAACAAAGCGGTCTTGGATGGAGGCGTTGCACTGAGATGAGCACGAACAAAGGACGGCGACGCGACGCGTCACAGTTTGAAGACCGCGCTATCCTCAGAACGCGATGACACGCCGAGACTGAAGCTATGCTGTTTACAGCCAAGCGTTTGCGCATGGGCTATGTCCCCGAGGCCGCAGGCCGACTGTGTGAACTTCTAAGCGTCATGCCTCCATCACGCTCATCCTCTGTGTTTTGCCGCAGCCATCTCCAGTCAACCGCATGCTCTACGGAAGATATACATTTACATCTCCGTATGTTGCACCTAAGTATGGGCAGCGCTACGAGCATCGCTCGTGCCGACTGCAGCCCCTAATGCAAGAGTCGCCTGAGAAATGCTTGTTCATCACGGCTTACTATGAAAAGAGACCTGCACATTGTTGCTGTTTCTTACACTGTTCTGCTAATGAAACATTAGATGACCTATGTGTCTGTCGTACGCTGTAAGGCATATTTAGCACCAAGCAAACAGCTTCCTCATATACGACCCATCATGGCATCGGCATCGGTCGATCCCGACTCGTTCTCCAGATGTTCACACGAGGCGTCCATTCCTCCAATCCTACCGAATTTCAAGCTGGCCAAAGCGAGTTCCTGGGCGTGACAGGCCCACGGTTGTACCGAACGCCCGCGATCGATATCGACGTCACCTATACATCCTCATACCACCCAGACCAACCTTGTGTCGCGGCAATATGATGCCCACGGGCGTTTTTTGATTTCGCATACTACTATCCCGATTCCTCTTGCTCGTCGCCATTTGATGCAAGCAGCTCTTCGTACACCCATACTTCCATCGCTCTACGCTCTCCATCTCTCGTCCGCTACGAGTTCGTCCACCTGAGGCCCATCAGGCCCCTATCACGCTCCAAGCTACTTGGGAAAGCAGCAAAGACGGTGTACTACGATGGTCTGACACTATATTAAGGCCACGACCGTGCTGGGCATCCTGGCTCCTGATCGCATCTGCCGGGTCGACATCATAATGCTTAACAATCACCACCGCGGATGTATTTACCCCACTTGTCGATGCGTCTCCGCCTGCTTCCATACGCGCGCTCGCTAGCGGTTATGATGGCGTCGCGCTGGTCGAGCGAATTGTCTCTATCCCTCTTTCGGGAGACGGGAGGGGGCGGGATGTTATACTTCTTCATGTATCCCTTCAGGTCTGTTTCACACTGCGATTCTATCTCCACGCCATCTTGCCTCTTCTTTGGCTCCGAAATGACAGCCTGTTCTGTCCTTCCCTTGCTCGTCTGTGGCTCTTCGGGATTCTGGGCAGTGTTCTGCGTACCAGGGTTACCTTGCGAAACCACCTGTCGTGGTCTGTCTATCACCTCTGCCATAAAACTTTCAGCACCAACGTCCGCAAAAGCTTCACGGGGAAGAGAGCTTGCATGTACCGCTGAAGTTTGCTTGTTGACTTGATCAGCTTCTGCCCCAGTAGCCGCGCTTGCTAGGCCTGGCTTATGTGCTTGCAGACTGGTCAGCTCACTGGCGCGATCTAGAGCCCCTGCTACTTCAGCGAGCAGTTGTTCCATCTTTTGCAAAGGTGTAGCTGTGACCTCTGAGACAACGAGAGCTGGTAATACCGCCACACCTTCAGACCCAGCGACTGGCTGCCTTTCTGAGGGGTTCACAGGAGCGCCACCCGCATTATCGTTCGCAGGCTCTGCCGTCTGCGTATCAACATGTTTATCCCTACCCAGCTGTTCGAGCTCTGCCTCGTCGCTTCCAGCAGGGTGTGTTGGTCCCAAGACACCAACAACAACTTCGTTCTGCCACCTTTGGATACGAGTGCGATCGAGCTGCTTCAGCGACGTCTTGTCCCACCACTCTATGTCGTATGCAATGGTTGGCACTCCATCGTCCCTACTGTCTGCCACGGTAACATTTGCAGCTCTTGCTCTGTCAAACGCATCCTGTGCAGCGTTCTCGGCCTCCTCAAGTGTTACAATGACGTTGTGCCAGCCCTCAAGCCACTTCCGACTGAACTCGATGCGAAAGTCAACATTTGGACGGTTGACCTGCTTGGCGACATACTCTTGAAGCTCTTTCTCGTATCCAAGCCGGTATTTATCGTGCTTCTCCCGGGCTACTTCCAACGCGGCTTTGGTGAATCTATTGCGCATGCCAAGACCTGGACGTGTAGCCTCAACAGATTGCTTCACAGTGGCCAGCCCTGACTCCTGTACCCGCGGCATGTAATCTGGGGCGACAACATCCGTCCCGCCGTCCTGACTCTTCTCCCAAGGAAGACGCTCCAGCTCTGTGGTCGCAGGAACGAGCTTGGCTTTCACGAAAACATCTTCTTGGATGGCATTCACCTCTTCCACGGGTTTCATCCAGGTGTTCTGTATTTCCTGGAGAATTCGTGGTAATTGCTCTAGTTCCTTTTTCATGGCTGCGCGCTTGTGTCCCATGTCGTTGCACTGCGTTTGCATCGCAGTGGCCTTGGATTCTTCCTCCGGTGTGAGCTCTTTTTCACCTAAAAGATCAAGATATTCATCCAGCTCTTCCTTGGTCTGCACCTGTTCTGCATGTAAGCGGAAGTCTGCTGCAATTAGGTCCTTCGTCCGCCTCCCGACCGCTTCGCGTGCTGCGCGGAATTTGCGGCCAGCCTCAATCTGCGTTCTCATCTTTTGAGCAAGCTCGTGCGAGAGCTGTAATGCAAGAGTAAAGCCCTCTTCATCAACGCCGGTGGTTTGTATCATGCGAGCAGGTCCATGAGTATACATACGATCATCATCGACTCCACCAAGCCATGTCTGCGCCTGATGTGTTCTCTTCTGCTCTATTGGACCACTCTCGTTGAGCTTTCCTCGTGTTCTATCCTTCGATATCACTTCGGGACCCTCCAAAGCTAGCGCGGACGGTCCAGGATTTGGCGGTCGCCAAGTGTAACGATGATCTTCTGCCCTCCCTACCGCTGTAGAGGGAGATCTCTTGCTATGGAACTTTTCTGCAGCCTCTGGCTCTGGTACAGGCAGTGCTGAAGACTTAGTACCTCTTTCTCGTCCTGTCGCACTAGCTGCATAATCTCTTTCGCCACGAAGACTCATACTTTGATCTTTCACCGCGCTCACAAGCGCTTTCGGATCAGGGGTAATGTCGTTAATGTTTAGCTGGCCACTCGTATAAACAGAACTGCGGCTGTCGACTAGCTTCTGCCGGTTGCTGCAATTGACTTCCGAGGTAGACTTCCTCGTACTGAGACTGTCTCTGGTTGTATTCTTGGGTTCCAATATGTCGCGTTTGGCTGGCGTTCGTTGCTGTTTGGAAGGACTGGCCAGGTCATCTCCATCGCTCATCACAGCGTTCGGCTCGCCTGCAGATCTGATATGATCCATTGGAGGGAATCTTCGTTTCTGATTGTTGACCAGTCTTTGTGCGTACGTGCACGCGATCTCGGAATCCGGCGATGGCCCAAGCGCTCTACATTCGTTCTTTGTTCCTATGTCAAGATAGGAGGTATGAGACGAACAAAGTAGGTCTCAGTCAGTGCGGATCCAGGTTAACATTTCTTTGAGGTATAGGTAACGTTCATTTAACAATCAGTTGCCGCGGTGGTCAGCGCGGCAGTGCAATAGACTTCATTTCCGCACTTACAACGGATCCAGGAAACACCGCAGTCAAGATTAACCATAAGTGGCAAGGTAAACCATTGGGCTAATGAGAAGCACCGAAGGAGTTTACTTCCCATCATGCCAAGAGGCTGACGCGCTCTCAGGCACGATCACGAAATTGAAGCTTGTCATGACATGAGTCTCAGCCGCCCTGGCTCCCGGGAAGTCAGCACTTCATGGGACCGAGTGTGGCTATAAGTCGTATCGCATTCCATAACGATACGGCTAACGTAGAAATTAACATCGTTCCAGAGGCGACCCAATTATCAAAATCTTGAAGCACATATACGGTAAGTTGTGACACACATTCTAGGTACCTCAGGTACTAAACATCGGGCCATTTGAGACTTATTCGCGGCAAATGTAAAGACCAATGAAGTATTGTTTAGTCGCCTACAGTGAATGACTAAGGTCATGCCCACTATGAGCACCCCAATCCCGTATGCAACAGGCTTTCCAAGCTTGGACCCTTCTCCCCCTCCCCATGTGTTGAAACCCTCGTTCGGCTCAATACCACTGGCGCCTCTCTCAACTCGGTTGCCGCCCCTTGTTTCTCACTAAGTTCCCACACTCGTGCATCTGCATAGATCGTTGTTTGTTCAGAAGACTGCCTTACGTCTGAGCAAGCCTGAGTACGCTGCAAAGATGACTGGGCGCGCTGCAGAGGATGAAGATGGTAAGTCTTCTTAATCCATTCCTTTTGATGCAACCCACTGATATTTCGTAGATACCGCAGCCCATTGTGCTGCCCAAGCGGATCAAAACGCCTTGGGCTCATCGCCCCTTTCGTGCTCACATGAGCCTCCCCCAAGCCCTTTGCACGTTTCTGAGGCTTCGACGATTAGCAATGCTGCCGTTAGTCTTAACGTATCACATGACGTTGAAATCAGCAATGTTAGCCACAACCATGCCCAAGTGGATCTCGCTGTCCTTCGAGATACAATGTCTGCCGCAACCGCTCCATCCATTTCGCTGGCAACGACACAGAGCGTAAAACTTCTCGGGGAAAAAGTCACGAATGCTCCGGACAGCAACATCATAGCAAATACCTCTGCCGCAGGAGACGTTCCCACCCTATCAACACCTACAAAGAGTGTGGAGGCTCTTGAGAAAGCACTCATGGATGCCATACGAGCGGCCAAGGCTGAACCTGCGTTTCCGTGGTCTATCCAGGATGTGGCGCCAGGCGCTTCAATTCGAGGCTTGAAGTTTGTTACCGACACGATGCAACGGATTGCAGTCCCACAAGATCCAGGGGACTTTGAAGAAGGAGGTTTCGTGTGGATCATAGTAGCTGAGCCTACCAGTGATCGAGACGTACTCGAACGTTCTCGAGGCAACGTCGTGCATACAGACCATGGATTGTTTGTGATCAAACTACGACCTGGGATCATTATCGAAAAACATGCTCGACACTGCACGGTGGCTGAGATGGGCCGCCGTGGCGATAGAGTTCTAGATGGACTCTCGCTCGTGGATCTTATAGAACGCATGGGGGTCTTGCCGCTTCATGCCGCTCCCTTCGATCCTGCGACACTTTCGGAAGACGATGAACTGTACCGTCTCATCTACACCCCTTTAAGGATTGCGGAATACTACGGGCCTGGCAAACCCTTAAATCAAAACTCCATTGTTCAGTTCTTCCGGACACGTCCTTGCGCCTACAACAACCACTTGCTTCGTGCGGGTAGACTAGAGACGGAATCCTTTTCAAGACTTCTTGCTACGCCGAACATAGCGAAGCAGTTACGTACTGATCTGTCCACTATGGCTACCGACCCACGTCTTGATGACCTAAAGACCAGGCCCATAAACCGCCGACCACGGGAGACTCTGTCTGGGTTTCAGCTTAGAGCATACGGCAGCTCCATGGCGCTACTGAAAGCGCTCAGGCTCAAGGCTGAAGAATACGTGGCACGACCTGCAAACCACTTGCGTACGCCTGAACGTAGAGTCGTTACAGGAGCAAACGCTAGGAATCGATTCGGTGCCGATCCAATAGCGAATACAGTTTCCAACGATACGGCGGCCATGGTGCAAACATCTCTTCCGACGACAGCATCGAGTAGCGGCAACTTCGTTGCTACTACAAGCGTTCACCCAGATCGCCGCGCCATGGTACCGGCTCCTACGCTCATACAAGCAGTCGAGCGAGACTCTTGCACGGCCTACGAATCCGTCACGAAAGAACTTATCCCTCCCCTCCAAGTTGCACGGGACATTGCACGAATGGAATGGGAAATGATTGCTTGTGACACTACCGGCGTCGATGTCCGTTCGAAGAAGCGAAAGTTGGCTGAAGCTACAAACCTGCATGATGAGGCAAAGACTCTAAGTATTACAATGTCCCTTATTTAATAAGAAGTACCTTTTGCGTATATAGTAGTTATATAATTTAAAAGTTATAAGTAGCTTATTTTACTTTACGTTATTATAGTACTATAAATAAAATAAAAAAGAACTAAAATATTAAATTATATACTATAGTAAGTTAATAGTTAAAAAATATATAATATAACTATACTTTAGTATTTTTATTACTTTTATAACTTATATAACTATAGCTACTAATATCTTTTTTATTAATATTATAAGCGTTAAGTATAGCTTTTAAAAAACGCTTATACTTATTAATAATATCTTAGCTACTTATACTTCTTTTAATTTACTTAGTATTAATAAAGTAGCTAGTGTTTTATAAGCTAACTTTTCTACTTTACTTATTAGCTTTATTATTACTTTACTTATTATTTTTATTATTACTTTACTTACTACTTTACTTATTAGTTAAAATACTACTTATTAGTAAAAGAATAGTATATATTTCTTTTAAGCGTAAAGTATATAAAAGTACTATTAACTTAGAATCTAGCTAACTATATAAGTAAGACTTATATAGTATAACTATAGGTAGACTTTAAGAAATAAGTAATAAATAATTTACTTTACTATTTTTTATAAGCTAGCTTTACGCTAATACTATAAAAAACTAAGTACTTTAGAAGTACTTTATTCTAGCTTAATATATAATAAATACGCGTTAATAATATTATTTATAGCTATAGCTTAAAAGTATAAATAAAAGTAAAGTAAAAGTTTAGAGATAGTAGTAGCTATTAAGTAATAGAATTTATATTTAGGCAAATATAGTCTTATGTGTGTCTTATGTAGGCTGAACGCGAAGGAACAACCTTAATAAGGCAAAGTTACAAAGCAAGAATTCTATGACAGTGCTTTAGGATGTTAAGCGGTTAAAACGAACTATGAGGAAATCAGAATTGCCCGACGAGGACTCGCGCGACGAAGCTATGCGCCTTTACTCCACGCTCGACAGTGTTACCAGGGGTGTGGAAAACCTCAGAGCGAAATCTACAGCGTTCCATGCCGGAAACTAAAGTCTGCTCTCTGACATGACCCATTTCATGGAATGAGGTGAGCGCTCAAATTACTTGCGCGGTGTTTTTTGCAACCATACATCCCTTCTGTTAGACTCTGGGACTCTTCTTCCGGTCTCTCGCCTGTCGCCTCAACAGAAGGCTAATTATATCCCAACTAGAATCAAAAGAACGAGAGCGCCTATGCGCGTGTGTACTCTACGCGCCGGGTCTGTACAACATATTGTTTTTCACCAACGGCTTGTTTTGACCGACAACGGGATTTGCGCAGGGATTTATGTTGTGAACAATTAGCGGGTTCGCTGGTGCTGGTGCAGGCGAAGACGTAAGCTTGAGACAAATATATCTCGGGTTGTAATACATGCAGTATTAGTAACAAGAATCTTATTCGTGTTTCTCTTTCTCTACTATGTGCTTCTTGCTTTCTGTCGGAGGAAGCACGCTATCTACTTAAAGTGTACTCTGTTCTAGAAGAGACCCAGGTACTGAGATTTAACGATGAAGTTTGACGACATGCATGTAATCAAATGCAATGTTAGTTCTGCGACTTCCATCGTTCATATGTATCTTCGATTTCTCTTACGCCTTTCTCCGTCGACCGAGATTTCCCCGCTAGGCTACCGATGTTTGCCCTTCATTATTTGGGTCAACAAGATGTAGTGAATCTTGAGCCCGCTCCCCAAATTAGGCTTAGACTCTTCTTCTTTTCTTGTGATTGGGTTCAGTAAGGGTCGCTATGACACACGACATCACGCGGCTCTCGTTTGCACGCGAGTATAACAGCCTGCTCTGCACCCACGCAAGCTTTGCCTTTAGAACCGTATCCCTATAAGGACACAAAAGTCCTCAAAGAGGAATCTCCATCCATTACGAACAGCCCGTTGTCTACTACACTCGTGATTGCAGCTACTACCCTACTACTGCGGGAAGAAGCGCTTCTCTAACAGGGGCTATCTACACTGGTATCAATAACTACCACTTGTCGGCGCGCCAACATGACCACCCGGTCTGACCTCGACTGTAGTAGGATAATCAATTCCCCGATCAAGGATATGCAAGCTAATGTTCTAGGTGATTCTACCACCCACCGACCGGACCCCGAATTTCCACAGGACATTATGGTCAACTCTCCTAGGGTCGGTCAAGTATTCTGGACTTTTCTAAACCATCCAGATGACGATCCAAGCCCGGATGGAGTCGCCAGAGATAGTGACATCATACTTGGGGGCTTGCGGCTGGCAGGTTGGCGACCCGTCATTGTCTTCCGTGTATGGGCGAAACACTGCTGGGTTGCGGAGATGTGCCGTCCAGACCGCCAATACTTTGATGGGCTATCACTCCGTGAACTTGTGGAGCGTGGCCACGTTGTTATGGACGCCAGCGAAGGTTTCGATTACGCGTCCCTTCCCGAAGATCACCATCTCTTCCGCTCTATTGGAGAGCCTTTCAGGGTTAACTATCACGATGATGAAGGAAGACAGCAGCTATTAGGATGGTCCTTAGTGCAGCCATGCCGCTTTCACAGCCCAGATTTCGAGCGTATGGGTACACTCTGTGGTCACCTTACCGAAGAATCTACTGCGCGATTCATGGCAGTCCAGAAATACAGTGACCGCTTGTCTGAGACTGTAGAATCAGTGTACGACCACGATTTCACACGAGCACCGATTCCCAACCCGCTTACGCCAGAGTATCGAACAGCAATACTGTGGATCAAGAATGAGATTCGCCGACTAGTACCTCCTCCCGGTAGTTCTGAGACGGCCAATGACGCGCATCTAGATACTAGTGAGCTTTTCGACTTTTCCTCAACTATACCAAATCGCGGGGACGCAGTCTCACCTTCTCTCATCATGAAGAAAGCCAGAGACGCGTCTTATGGATACTTGAAATCTGCAGCAATCATCAAATCCCAGAAGCAGAGCCTACTTTTTCAGGCAGAGGATGAGTATGACGATGTTCAAGCTAATTGGTGGGCATCTACTGCCGAGCGAAACAGTCTAAAGCGCAAGCGGGATGATGCCGAGGTGGAAGTGGAAGTGGCATTACTCCAGGAGAAGGGCTATAGAGAGCTTTTCATCGAGCTCATGAATTTCCTCCCTGATCAATCCCGATTCCAGGGCCAGGATGAGGACGTGCAACTTTGCTCGACTCTATCCCGCAAGTTCACCAAGGTTCAGATCGATGTTTGGAACGCCAGAGCCTTTCTTGATCAACGTCGGCGCACTCAGCTTTCTCAGCAGCGGTCTTGCATTAGCTGCATCGCAGATGTATCTTGAAGACATGGGCTTCATCTACGCCACGTTAGAGATTACTTCTCGAACATCTCATCGATCTTCAGCGAAACAGCAAAGTGTGTAGAGCTATAAGGTAGTGCAAGCAAGTACTTGTCTTACATAAAACGTGTACTCAAAGTTCGACAGCCCATGCAGTGCCTCGATCAATCTACTATACTTTCTGAACAGTCGTCTAGCCACTGACGACCTTGTGCAGCTTCACTGCGGACATCGCATCTTACCCCTTAGTCATAACACCACCACCATTAGTTCCAATAACCTGGCCAGTAACCCACCCAGCTTCAGGCATACACAGTAACCCAACAACGCCCGCAATCTCTTCTAGGTACGCCGGTCTTCCGCCCAAATCCTTTGCCGCCGCAATCGTCTCCTCCGAGTCAATACCTTCTCTCGTCGCAGCCAAAGGTGCCATATAGTTTAGCGACCAGGCCCTCTCCAACATTTCCTTCGGGAGGCTCGTATACATGCCCGTAGCTATCGCACCTGGATTAATAGCGTTGACTGTGCAGCGTTCGGCAAGCTCGCGAGCCCAGACACGTGTCATTGCTTCAAGAGCGCCTTTAGTGCCAGCGTAGCAAGACTGCCACCAGAAGCCCATTGAGGTTGTGATACTGGAGACGTTGATCACACGACCGGATCTGTCGTTCGGAAGATACGGTATCGCAGCTTGTAAGACGAATAGTGGAGCGCGCGCATTTAGGTTGAAGGTAGCTTCGAAGTCGGATAGTAGGACTGAGCCCATCGGCGCCGGATTAACGACTGCCGCATTGTTTACAAGTATGTCGATCTGGAACTTGTTGTTGTTGCTGAAAGCCGATTTCGCTGCATCGATGAGTTGATCCGGGCCGTCGGGGGTAGTAACATCAACTTTTGCTACTAATGTCTTGATAGAGTAATTGGCTTCTAGCTCTTCAGCTAAGGCGGTTGCATTGTCTGTTGAAGACTCCGAAGTGTAGTTGATGACGATGTTCGCTCCCTTGGAAGCCAGATGGCGTGCCAAAGCAGCCCCAAGGCCTTTTGAAGCTCAATTAGCGTCATGTTTCATTGGGGTCACGGAAGGAGGGACATACATACCGCGGGATGCACCAGTGATGATTGCTAACTTGTTCTCCAAAGGTCTCGTCATGGCCGATGTTGGTGCTAGACTGGGACAGCACAGTCGCCGCCTAGTTGCCCACTCTAGTCGAACGTAACCTACTTGATATTTTATGCCCGCGTGTATGCCAACAAATCTTGCATTGACACCAATAGTTTGGCGAATACGCCATCCCGGGTGCTGCATGTGATAATGATCCTTCGCGTAGGCGGAAGAACATGGGTATGTCCCGTGGGTGGGGATAGGCTTGGCTAGATCGGCGGAGAAGAAGGGATGCATGCAACTGGCCCGCCTCACCTTCTTGATACTTTGGTTTTCGAACTGCGGGCTGCTATGTCTCTTGCGATCTGAGCAACCTATTCACGTCCTTACAGCCCCTCTGGTAAAACTTGTACATAATTCCATTGTGACTGGTCCTCCCATCGAAGCATCCATCATGAGGCTGCAAAACCGAGTCGCGATAGTGACGGGCTCGTCCCAAGGTATCGGGCGAGAGATCTGTCATCAGTTCTTCGTTGAGGGAGCCTTGCTCGTATGCGCTGATCTTAGACCTATTGGAAAGGGCGAAGACACTGCTACACACGAATGGATCATCAGCAAAGGCGGACGGGCCGTTTTCATTGAGACGGATGTCAGTGTAGCCACCAGCTGGGAGGCACTCGTTGCGCGAGCAGTGGAGGTATATGGTCGACTTGATATGTAAGTATCCATCCAGCTATCATATGTACAGTCATGTAGGGGAAATAACTGATATCGTGGCCCTAAAAGAGTGGTCAACAACGCAGGCATCTGCACAGAGGCCAGCAACCCACAACCCATCGATCAAGTCGACGAAGATATGTTTGACGCCCACATGCGCATCAACACACGAGGAGTCTTCCTTGGCTGCAAATATGCCGCTCGTCAGTTCAAGGCACAAGCGCCGCAGCCCAATGGTATGCGCGGTTGGATCGTAAATCTCGCTTCGATGGTATCCAACATCGGTATGCAGGGCCTCAGTAAGTTATTCCACACGAGAACATACGATGATTTTGCTTTTGGCGTTGGGCTTACACGTTCCAGCTGGGTATACGGCGTCCAAGGGTGCTGTGGCTTCGATGACGCGAACCATTGCGCTGGATGTTGCGAAAGAAGGCATAGTCGCCAATTGCATTGCTCCGGGATGTAAGTCGCCCTTTCCAGTATCGCATGGGCCACTCTAATATCTTTCGCCAGTTTCGCAAACTGCAATGCTCGAGGATGCGCTTGGTGGGGCCTTGTCATCCGCAGCAGACGCGGTCAAAGCCTCTATACCTCGGGGTAAATTTGGTCACCCCCACGACCATGCGAGAGCTGCGGTTTATCTCGCTAGCGATGATGCGCAGTGGGTAACTGGACAGGTGTTGAACGTTGATGGTGGCTTAACAGCACAATGAGTCTTGCAGAATTTGCTGTGCATCGGGTCGCACATCCAATCAGGTGGTCTTACAAACAGCCCGCAGGTACTGCCTCCGGAAACGTCTGGACTTCTTGTTAGCCCTCAGAATTGAAGTCTGTCTAGAACATGAGAGCTCTCGCATATACTGTAGCTCCATACCGGTTGTAGTTGTGCCTGCATGGCATGCAATGTGCCGGCAGCGGGCGAGTTTTAAGGATACCGCGCCACAGCCCGTTTGGGGGGCGTCCTTCCGCCTTCCCCGCCCGGGGCGGGTATCTGTGCGTCAGGCTTCCCTCTCAAGCTTCCCTCCCAGTATTGACCAGCTACTGCCCTCCCTACCCTCTTCTCATCTCGTCACTCGTGTTGCCATCAAAGATTCTCTCGGTTCGTTGCCCTCCCGTAGCACATGCCGCATCTTGGGCGGGCGTGGCAAGCGACGTGGGGCCGAAAGCGGCGCATGGACTCGGAAACATCCTCACCATGCCGCATCCTCGCATGTCACATGCGCGAAGCGCGGTTCATTGGCAGCACTGACTGCCCGACCTTGTCACATTAACATCAGGCCTCGTCCTTAGACTTGAATTTCGCTGCAAGGCGCTACTTTGGGAGGTGGATGCAACCTTGGCAGGATCATTGCCTCAGCATGGGGGATTACCAACATCCAGAGGCAAGATCTTGTCTCAGGTTCCGAAAAGGATGTGCGTGAAGCTCAAGATGGTAGCAGTATTGTTCATCTTCCTGGACATTTCTCGTCAAGGGATCCATGAAAGGGGACACTCACGAAGCACGGGTGTTTTCCTACTGTCAGCACATAAAGTAGTCATGGGGAAGGAGAGGAGATTTCATCGAGCATTATGCCTAGTCCTACCTCCCCCTCGCTGGCATTGGCCGTCCTTGTTTTGCTTCCTTTCGATATCATCACTTGGGCGCTTCGCTTTCATGTCCGACTTTCTAGAAAAGCATGGGGTCCGGATGACTGGTCTATGGTAGTTGCAATCGTACGAACACGTCAAATTCTCCCAATATCACATTTACTTATAATGAACAGCCACTTTTTATCATCTCAACGATGGGTATGCTTGGGATCGCCTTCACAGGAGGTGGAAAGAGGGACGACGAACTTACAGTCAACGAGAAGCAGACAGCTATGTTTGTAAGTCAAGCAGTGTATCCACAAGGTTAATCATGCTCACTATATACAGTGGTGGTCAGTACTGTCATGTCACAGACTGCAAGCTCGACAATAGTTGACTCCGCACAGGTTCATCATGCAAACCATGTTCTGCCTTGCCGCTATCCCCGTCAAGTGGGCCATTTGCTTCACCTTACTCCGCATCGCCAATGGGAAAAAGGCATATGAGTGGTCAATATATGCTATTATGGCGACGGTCGCGTGTGTCATGGCCTCGACGACTATATACGAGTTCTTCCATTGTACTCCAATTGCGATGAACTGGAAGGCTGTAGAGGGCGGCACCTGCAAGGCACAAAGCAACATTACTGGATTCAGCTTTGCGCTTTCTGCGGTTTCAATCTTCTCGGATTGGTTTTGCGCTATCATGTGAGTTCTACTGAAGTATTAGCTTGTGTCTTGACTGATCGTGGCGTAGTCCCATCCCACTCCTTTGGAACGTCCAGATCGATCTCCGCGTCAAGATATCCATCATCGCCCTCCTCGGCCTCGGCATATTCGCATCAACAGCAGCCATCGTTCGCCTCACAGTGACACTCAACCTCAGCGCGACAACAGACTTCCTCTACTATGCTATGCCCGTAGCGGCATGGGCGCATGCTGAGCTTGGGCTTGGCGTTGTTCTTGCAAACCTTTCGGCCTTGCGTCCCCTTCTCGAGAAGATGCTCGACCTTGGCTCGACATTGCGCAGCAGCAAGAAGCGTACCGGCGATCAGGCGTCTGGTGATGCATACATGGAGCTTGAGGAGGGTATCGGCAGTAAAACGAGGACAACGTTGTCGAAGAGGCTGAGCGGGCGAACAGGAATCAAAGCAGCTGTTGGTGTTGGAGAAGATCTGGATGGTACCTCATCTCTAGGTGACGATGATAGGTCTACGCGCAACATTATGAGCCGACACGGGCAGCATAACATACAGATAGAACATGAGTATGAGGTCAGCTATGAGAAAACGAAAGGCCATTGAACAAGACTAGCGGCTGGACACATGCAATGAGGGAGAGAAAACTTAGAGCCGATAACTGAGCGTCCGATGTATGGTGAGCTGTAGCAAATGATCATATACGATAGCATATTAGAATCAGCTGCCTTTCATTGATGAGTTCTTGCGTCCTTCGCCAGTCGGTGAAGATTGTAGATAAACAGCACTTGGATCTAGAGCTCATGGATCGGCGCACAATAGACCCCTGTCGCTGATGCATGTCTGATTAGCCACCCCAGCGACTGGTATCAATGTCCCAACAGTCACGAAACGACATGCAGCATACCCTGGCTTAGG